TTGTGTTTTTAAATATCCCAAAGTGGAGAAAAAGGAGTATAAACCACTAAAGTTTCCAGTTATCACTACTTCATTGCATTTCTAAGTAGTATGATTACAGTTCTTCTCCAATAATACAAATTAGCAAATTTCACTAAACGCTAAGTTGAACAACTAAGCTGGCTGACATTTACAGCCACCTTCCCAATGACTACCAAAGAGAAGAAGCTATCAGGAAAATATGGCTTGCAAACACAAGTGGTAAACCTTCAAGGATTTGAAGTACCTTTCATACAATTTGACCATTGCCAGGAAGCCATTTATCCAGACCTACGTGAATGTCCTTAATTTCTCTACCCAAAATGTTTCCTTTTACAAACAGCATTATTCATCCTTGTTTTCTGCAGCAGAAACTGTCCCTCCTCCAGCTCCATGAGTGAGTGTCCATGCACACGGTCATGCTGCCCTAAAGCCTGGTGTCTTGCACCTCTTCCTCTGTCTCCTCCTTCAGGGCAGCAATTTGGGATCGAGGCTTGTGCTTGCTTGAGTTCCGATGGGGGAAGACCTTCAGCCGGTCCGAGGGGCTTATGGCCTGCTGGAAGAGGCTCTTCTCGCTCAGAAGCTTTTGGATGGACTCATACTGCCGCACTCTGTTCTCCTCTATGACCTAGGGAAGTGGCTGTGAATGAGATCATGGACAGAAGGCAGGGTGGAGCAGAGCAAGGACAGAAGCTGGCATAGGATCAGAAGCAGGAAAAGCCCAAAGGAAGAGTGTCCAGGGGCTGGCAGTCTGAACAGTTGGGGCTGTCTCATTTCACGCTGAGTCCTCTTGTCCTCTTGATTTACGGAGCTTCTACCACCTGTGAAATTAGCTGTAACTTCCTACTTAGCAGCTGGAAGATTTTTTGTTTTTTTAAATTAGGATAGTACTGAGCAATGTCCTTCTTCTGAGAACTTTACAGGAGCTAAGGATGCTTTGTAAGCCAGAATGATTTTTGTTTAACCCCTTTCATATTACTTTAAAAAAGAGTATACATCCACGGCATGATAAAGGATTGAACCTATTCAAGAGTGGACTGAAGCTTAACTATTCCAAATTGCTCAGGAGGCCTGAGTTTAATTTGTCTCTTCACATGTTCAAGTGGAGCAAAGCCAAGGCCAGAAAAGGGAAGGGCTTTACCCAATCATCCGATCCTGACCACAGCAGGACAAGAGGCTGTGAGCCGGCCTTCTAATTTGTCACCTGAAGCTTAGTCACAATAATGGTAATAACCATCCTTCAGTAAGGAAAGCATTTACCTCCAGGAAACTCGAAAGCCTTAACAGAAATGACATGACACATCATCCTCAGAACTTCCTTGTGACTAAACCCAAGAGAATTTGTAAACATCACTGAAAGCATCCATGACAGTTCTGAAAGCACAATGAGGAGGTGGTTGGGAGAGGCACTCACCTGAGCTCCAAATAATGACGAGAAAAACGAAATAAGCCTTTCCACCACTGCATTCAAAACATATATGAGATTGACTGTCCTGGACCCCGTCCAAGGGAGAGTTTGTTATTGAAAGCATAAGGACTTAGTCTTATGACTTGATCCACAAATAAAGAACTCAAAAAATTTTGATGTTCCAGTTTATTAATGTAACTTAGTAATATGCTATTTTGGATTTACTGACTTCCAACCTCACCTCATAGCTCAGACCAAAGTGAGAAGCTTATGCAGCTCTTTTGAGTAAAGCTGGATGGCTATATGACACATGTTTTAAGAAAGAACTTGTGCATTGCTGCGATTTGCAAGAACTATCACACGAGAAACTGTTATCAAGGATTAAAGGAGAATTAGATCTTAAGTAAATTATAAACACTCACCAAAAATCGCTGGCATTCCAACATGGCTTCTATCCTGTGTTCACAGAGGATCACGGTGCAATCAGCAAACGCTTGTTTTAGAGTTCTTCGAATGATTTGGTATGTTCTAGAAAAGAGAGAAAATGCCACATAGTACATCAATAATCTGCCTGTGTCCTTGATAGGACCTTTTGTCCTATCAATTTACTTCTTTAAATTACTTATCTTTCTTTAAATACTTTTAATGTAACGGTGATATATAGAGTCAGCCACAGAAAGCTTTTTAACCATAGGATAGATTCAAAGTTTCCATCAAAATTTTCTTGAAAAAAACTTCACAGAGGTACATTTTTTTCATTATGTAGAATCACTAGTAGTTTTTTTGGTTTTTTTAAAAGANCAGGTGAAAATAGAAACAAAGGAGAGGACAAGGGCAACATATAGAAAACAGTAACAAATATGATAGATATTAGTCAAATTATATCAAGAATCACTTTAAATTTCAATGTTATAAACACGAGTTAAAAGACAGATAGTCAGAGTGGATTAAAAACCAACTATACGTTGTCTACAAGAAACCCTATTTAATATAAAAACACATAAAGATTAAAAGTATGGAGAAAGTTATATTACACAAACATTATTCTAAATAAAAAGGGAATATTAATTTCAGAGATGATTTTAGAGAAAGGAAAGTTATTAGAGGTAAAGAGGAACATTACATAATTATAACGTGGTCAAAGCTCCAAGGAGACATGACAATCCTTAACGTGTGTGTGCCTAATATCCGAGATGCATGTACACACAAAATACGTGAAGACGTCCTTCAGTAGGTGATGGATAAGTTGTGGCACACCCAGACAATGGAATATTATTCTGCACTGAAAGGAGATAGCACGCCATGAGAAGCCAAGGCTTCCATGTCTAAAGAAGGAAACGAAAGCAATATTACTAAGTAAAAATAGTCACTAGGAAAAGGCTTCTTTTACTTAAAGTAATGAATTAAGTGAAACAATGTAAACCATGGACTTTGGGTAATAACTGATATGCTGGTTGTCACTAATGTGTCACTCTGGTGTGGGATGTTGTCAACAGAGGGAGAGGGTGTGGGTGTGTGGGGGCTGGGGGCATATGGGAACTGTTTGTATTTTCTGCTCAATTTTGCTGTGAACTTAGAAATGTCCTAAAAAATAAAGTTTATTAATTAAAAAAAAATGAACTAGAATAACTAGGAGAGAGCACGCTCTGAGACTGCCCTCTTGGGGTCACATGTGAAATGAACCTCTCTAAATAAGAAAAGACAGAGTTGGAGGACATGGCATTGGGTAGGGGTCTAGTGTCCATCTACTACACACTGGCACCTGCAACTGTCATGGTGAAACTGCAAGGAAAAAGGGCACCAAAGAAGCCCCATCAATTAAAAACAGGGAGCTGGGCAGAGAAAAGCCACCCAGGTTCTCATGTAGAAATAATATTTCCTTTGGTGAAATTTGCTCCCTTATAAAGAGCTATAAGATGGCTACCACTATTTAAGCACTCAAATAAATAAATGAATCCTTGTGGAATATATATATATATATATACATATATATATATATGTATATATATATATATATATATATATATATTTGTTCTATAGGTCTCCATTTTAAAATAACTTGAAAAGTGTCCTAACTCATGAAAGCGGGAACACACAATGGTATCTGTACACCCATGTTTATAAAAGCATTATTTAACATTGTCAAAAGGTGGAAGCAACCTAAGTTTCACTGACAAGTGAATGGATAAACAAAATGTGGCATATACATACAATGGAATATTATTGTCTTAAAAAGAAAATTCTGACATATGCTACAACATAGATATAAATCTTAAAGACATTATGCTAAGTGAAAGAAACTAATCATAAAAGGATAAATACTATATGATTCCACTTATATGAAGTACTTAGAGTAGTCAAATTCATAGGCAGAAGGCAGAATGGTGGTTGCTAGGGAGTGGGGGAAGGGACAAATTAGGGAGTTTTTGTGCAATGGCTACAGAGCTTCGATTTTGCAAAATAGAAAAAAGTTCTGTGGGTGGATGGTGATGATGATTGTACAACAATGTGGATGTGCTGAAGGTCACTGAACTGTATACCTACAAATAGTTAAAGTGGTAAATTTTAGGTGATGTACGTTTTACCACAATTTTAAAAAAGAAACTTTGTTTTTCAAGTTTTATTGGGGAACAGTGTGTTTTTCCAGGACCCATCAGCTCCCAAGTCAAGTAGTTGTCCTCAATCTAACTGTAGAGGGCGCAGCTCTTTGGCCTATATGGGAATTGAACCAGCAACCTTGGTGTTATGAGCCTGCGCTCTAACCACCTGAGCTAACCGGCTGCCCCCAAGAAACGTTTTTTTGAGTATCTTAATTCCTGTGAGGTCCTCAAGAAGCTACATGTTAAGGAAAGATTCATGGTGTGTGTTCCATGATCCTTAGCGACTGAAGTAAGAGATCAATGAGGCATGACTAATAAACACGTCTGAAAACAGCTGAGTTTCACACAAACATGTGGATTTTATTGACACATGGTATTTTCTTACAGTAATAAATAAAATGCAATCTTTCAGGTTAGTATGGAGTTGGAGAGGCCTTTTGTTCCTAATAAGAGTG